ATACAAACAACTTTCATAACCCGACACTTAAAGACCGCAGCTCCAACACAAAAAAAGACGCACGAATTTAACGCACAGATATGCACAGGACGAGCGCGAACAACGGTCACAATTCTTACTCCTTCGTGCGTGAGCAGCGCGCTCCTTTCGTAAACGTGGACGTGGAAAAGACGAAAGGGACGAACGTTTTTCAATACCTAAAAACGTTGGAAGGGACGTTCCTGCTTTCTTCAACTACTCTAATCTCAAAGCAAATTTGCAGTGGAAGTACAAGATGTACAAAGCGACCTAATCCCGCGATAAGCGCGCGCGTGAGTGAGCCAACACGCTAGAAAACATCTACACGCACTTTGGCCACGCTACGTGGAGGCGCGGGCTCAGCGACGCGCGGAGTGGCGTGGCACTGCGACCTTTAGGGCCTGCCACTACGTGCATTTGCAGCGTAACAGCGCGTGGCTCTTTGAATATTCTTGCTCCGTGCCCGGCGCCGCTCCCTCTCCCTATGGAGAGAAATAACTTGTGGCTGCGCAAAGCTGAGAACCCTTTCTTTCCATAGCGAATGGGAGCGCACGCACTGACGCGCTGCAACGGCACCGTGCGGTCAGGTATTTAGAGTGCGCGTGCCCAACGTGCGCCCGTCGCGCCATCTCGATACTGATGACGAAAACGCGCTAAAGTTGCCGAGCTCTGAGAACCACCAGCGGTAAATGGTGTATATGAATGGTTTGTTAACATGTTGTTGAAGGGTAGCTCTGGCTTAGTGGTTAGCGTTGCACTCTGAGGAGCGCGAGGTCATTGTTTCGACGACCCGCCTCAAAACTTTTTTATAACGTCATATCCGTGACGTAAATGCTTCATGGGGTGGGGCCTGGCGTAAAGCACTTTCGGATTAAAAAGGGAAAGCCAAAAAACATTTCGGAGAAGGCCAATGAGCGTCGCTTTATTAAAATGGCCCGCAGACAGATTACTCGCCGTTTCTTATAAGCTGCCCACTGTTATCGAGCCACTCGCCGCTATGGGTTAGCTATGTAGGACGAGTCGTACTCTTTTCTTTCTCTTTTTTTGTATACCATCGTAGGTGCAGTGCCGGAGATGTGGCGCAACATCTAAGGAGAAGCAGCTCTCATTTTACTTCTTTGATGCCCCGAGGTATTTCTTCCCTGAAGCACAGCGGGTGAATGGTGCTCGTTTTATCTCATTTTTCTCTGCCCCTTTGTCAATTTATCATTTTTCCATCTGGTGACACCCCTTCTACAAAGCAGGGTTTCTACATGATTTTTTTTCAGTCTTTCATCTTACTCGTTGTCTTCTGCCAAGAACATTTTGCAGAAGTAAGCGCCCTGCAGTAGGAAATGGACGTTACGTATTAGACCCTCGTATCCTTAGCAGAGAGGGTTTCTTCAAGCCACCTGTAGCATCCCACATTCTTGCTCCCTCACCCCTACTACGCAGTCACTGCTCTAACCGCACTCGTGACAGCTTGGTCACATGGCATTGTCCCCGGCATATTCCACGGCGGCCCTCACCATTCTCCTTTCTCACTCCAACTACCGCAGTTTTTTATTTATTTAATTTTTTTGTATGCAGCATAACAACCTGTACAGAACCTCTCCAACACTGCGTCCTGCTAGCATCTAAAAATGCCACAAAACTGGCATTGCGTGGTGGCGGGGGACAGTAAAAACACAACCTTCAGATGCATGCCTGCAGAGACGCCATTGGCTTTTTGCATGTTTTTCGTGCGCTATAACAGATTTAGACTAACACTTCTAGATAATCCTTAAGCAGGCTCCCATCGGTGAGATCAAAGCACTACTCTGATGATAGCTCCTTGTAGGAGCTATCTGCGATACAAACTACTTAACCAATTTAATACTGAATAAAGTAAGCATAAAATAGTAACACAAGGTCATCTATGTAAGTTTGGAGGTGGTGATGATGCAGTTTGGTGCGCGCACACATGTGAGTGAGTGAGTGAGTGAGTGAGTGAGTGAGTGAGTGAGTGAGTGAGTGAGTGAGTGAGTGTGTTTGTGTGTGTGTGTGTGTGTGTGTGTGGTTAGTAAAACACTTCGAAAGTGCGTGTTTCTCCAGATATATGGTATGCACTACTCATTGTATGCAAGAGGAACAAATTTTAACAGTGAAACTATTCTAGCTATTTGCAATTAGGACCTTGTCACAGAATACCACTGTGGCGTCGCCTTATTAATAGTCGACACCGCAAATGTGGGAAAACATGGAATAACCTACTGACCATGGCAGTGACGGCACACCAAGCAGCGCATGCGCAGTAGTGATCGAGCGGCCCACAGCGCTGCCTTAGTAGCTACCATGACCGGACCGAAGTGAGTTCATACTGCTGAAGATGATGCCATGCTTCGCGAAGCAAGCCTTGCTGCTAAATGGGAGAGGCAGCGACAGCACTTAGACCAATACCGCATACGAACCGATTATAGTCGAGAATGGGAGTTTCTAATCATATGTGCTTATCAGCTTCACAATCTATTTAGCTTTGTACCTCCTATGCAAGCTACGCTAATTCACTTTTTTTCTTTGTTGTTGTTTGTGTTGTTGGTGTTTCAAGCCTTAATATGTGTGGTTGTCATTAGCATCATGGTTAAATATAGCCTACCCCACTCAGTCTGCTAGGCAGGACGCCACCAGTGTGCAAAAGTCATTTACTTATTGTCGACGATCCGTGGCGTAGCCAGGGGGTAGAACACCAGGCGCGTGCCCCCTGCCCCTCTTTCCGAAAACTTTTTTGCCATGGCACACAGAACGAAAAATGGTCATTCCAAGGGGGAGTTCTTACTAAATCATGATTCTGCCTATGCCCCGGTCACCGACGGGTGAGATATTACAGTTACGAATATTCAAAATCAACAGGAGTCGTTGAGCACCATGAATAGTCGTTTGCTGCCTCGGTATTATACTGTCTTCGCTAAACGTGAAGAAAACAGTTTCTGTACTAGCCGTTCTCCGTTCTCAGCTCCGTCTCGCATTTCGTCGATCCTCAAGCAAGCTTTCAGACTTATTACTGGCTTCCTTAACTATAATATTGCTGTCTTCGCGCATGGGGAATAGGGGAGAAACAAGAATCAGGGGAGAAACAGGGGAGAAACAAGAGTGCTCCCTCTTCCTATATCTTCCCGCACCCCTCACTCACCCTCGCTTCCCTTAGCTAGCTCCTTGCTATACTACAGTATAAAAGCTATGCTGGTCTTGGCTATGCTAAACAGTGCTTTGCCTACGTGACGCTGTGTGACCACGTGACAAGACAACGTACGACAGCCTACGAGAGCCGGCGCCCCTAAAGTGCTTCGCTCTGAAAACACCACCATTCATAAGAAGACACTAGCATGAGGTAACGTAAATTTCCGTGCTTTTGAAGGTGATGTGCTTTTCTGTGGTGTTTATTTCTATATAGAATGACACTTAATTCGGTTTTAGGTTCCTTAAAGAATGACTCATACAAATTTTTTATTCTGGTCCTACTGTGTTCCGCTTCACTGCAACAAGCCACTTTCAGCTTCATCGATTACATTGTAGTAATAAACTTCACTAGTAACAACATATACAATAAAAAACACGCACTAAGCGGTAGAAGTACCGTCCAGTAACCGGATATTACTGTTGGTTTAAATTCAAAATAGTTAAGCGTAAGGCTGCCCCCACTTTTTGGGTTTATTTCTATGCGATTTCCCCAGAGAAGTGGATAATGCCCTTAGTGAGGCGAGTCAGAATTGGCGATGATAATTGTCAGCCCTATGGATCACTCATCTTGCCACAACCCGCATTTTCAAATGGTTCATTGCGGGGCCTCGGGCCAAACTACAAAGGATAGGCTATTCAAAGTACGGCCCACGCATATACTCGAAGCCAAATAAATCATGTTGTAAAGGCGCCAAAAGAGCTTTTTGGGGGTTTGGGGCTAAATGGATAAAGAGGAAAGGGGAGCGTTGGGAAGGATGAAGAATATGGCGAAGCGCAGGCACTCTCAATTGACGTCGATTGTGGGTCTCGTTTTCGTGTTTCGAAATGGATGCGCTGAATGGGTCCAAATGTCGTCATCCCGTCTTTCTTCTTCGAGTATCCCCGTTTTAATACTGCCAGCTAGTACCAACGAAGAAGCATCTTTTATTTATATTTGGCGAAATAAGGGAAGGTAGGCTACGTTAGAGCCGGCTATCCTGAACTGAAAGCGCTCCTAGACTCTCTCAGTTTGACCTCGGAGCGCGACCGAGATCAGATCGCATGACTCCCGCAGATCGTCTGTTCGCAACAGACGGTGCATTAGCATGTTTTTCTTCTTCCGGCCTCAGATTTCTATGATGAGTGGGTACACGTTCTGGCTTGGTTGCAGAGCGGGCAACGCATTGTTACAATCCCAGTCGGAGAGTGGTGGTGCCCATTCACCCGTACCATTAGTCCGCACAATGCCACCGATGCCATCGTCGTCATTGTCGAGATCGTCATCGTCGTCGCAATATAGTAGTAGTGGTGGTGGTCGGAGATTCTCAATGCAGTAATTGTAGTAGACGGAAGTCAAACAGGTGACGGGATAAGTAGGACAGAACAAAACATAAAACTAAAATTGCGATGACGACGGTAAACGTACCGAAATTCATCATCCCCGTCACCGTAACTATGCTTGAAATGACCATGATGATAATTTTCATCAAAGTCATAAACTGAAAAGCTGATATAGATAACGATGTTTACAATCATGATTTTTACACCAAAAAATATCATCACTGCTACAACTTTTGTGTGTGACTGTTTTCATGACGCGAAAACTGAGTTCTTTTTTATCATCTCGATAAAATCAAAACTTCGGTGCTATGAAAGCAAAGACAACAATTTGTGAATTGCCGACGAGCTGCCTACACAAGTGGCATTCGTCACTTCATATCATGTATTACACTCAGAATGAAAGCAAAAAAAAATATCAGCGAAGAAAGGACAGAAGTATTTCAGTGGCGTTTCTCTGTGGTCCAGGTCTACTCGTCATCACTGTCTTCAGACATGAAGACCTTGCGAAATTGATTTGACACGGCCTCGATGTCAAAGCTATGGACGATTGTCACGCTGCGCGTAATGTGAGGCAACTGTCCCTTGAGCCATGCGTGCACCATCTGGCCTCTGGTGTAGTCCCCGTTCAGTTCAACGTCGGAGGGTATGTCCAGCGAGCCGCTCACGCTGCCCGGAACCAGCGCGGCCATCACCGCCAAGAAGTCGCCGACACGGAAGCCGCTTGGCGATTCATGTTTCATGCAGCACTCGATCGTATGGTTGTTAACGTCATGCAAGAACTTCGCCAGTTTTGTGTCTTGCGCGATGACCTCGTTGTAGACGTCCTGGGTAAAGCAAATGGACAGCTAATAGTGAGAGGACAGGAACCGGCAAAACTGGTGGTCCTTCTTCCTTTCCCTCCCCTTCACCTTCCCTCTCTTTCCAACCACTTGTTATATCGTACAACACATGGCTACACTGTGCTTCGCCCCCTCCATCCCGTTGAAATTATGTTGTTCACGTGTGTGTGTGTCTGTGTGTGTGTCTGTGTGTCTGTGTGTGTGTGTGCGTGCGTGCGTGCGTGTGTGTGTGTGTGTGTGTGTGTGTGTGTGTGTGTGTGTGTGTGTGTGTGTGTGCGTGCGTGCGTGTGTGTGCGTGCGTGTGTGTGTGTGTGTGTGTGTGTGTGTGTGTGTGTGTGTGTGTGTGTGTGTGTGTGTGTGCGTGCGTGCGTGCGTGCGTGTGTGTGTGTGTGTGTGTGTGTGTGTGTGTGTGTGTGTGTGTGTGTGTGTGTGTGTGTGTGTGTGTGTGTGTGTGTGTGTGTGTGTGTGTGCGCGCACGCGCAAAGGACCTGTGCGTGTACAAACGCGCGCAGAGACTTATAGAAAGGGCAGTTTATGCCCCTTCTCTAGATATATTTTTTTGCTACGGCCCTGACTTACATATAACGTCAGCCTATACTTCAACACCAGTTTATGCATAGTACTAAATTGGAAAAGAATATACAGATACACAAAAAGCCACCGTTTCGTCACTAAGGCACACGAAGCGCTGCATTCGACAGCGAGGAATTAGAATATCACATGCAGCACAAAGAACAACACTCCAAAAGAACGCATACGCATGCACAGGCATGGCCACTGACCCAAGACAAGTGTGAACTAACAACTGTCATTGTTACGTGTTTGAATTTGAGAAACGTGCTCCAAATGTCCACAATGCGGAAGCCGACGCTGCTTGTTTGTTTTTAAACCACAGTACATCTAATGACCTCACTGTGACTTCTGTCACGTGATGGCGGTTTACGTCAAGTGTGCGCCGTGTTTTTTTAATCTTTTCTGCATCATGAGAGGTACAGAAGGGGGCCACATTATCGCACGCTTCTCCAAGGCATTTTTAATTTTGAAAGCAAATGAAGAAGCGTTGGTGATAGAAAATGCGCTCAACCTGTTCCGAGATCTGTGTACCGCGAGTCGTAAATAGTGCATGAGTACCTTCCTTTTATATCACCCAGCACAAGCATGGAGCGAGGCTGTGGTGGCTAGCGCAGCGGGCTGCGGAGTGAGGGGTCACTGGTTCGAATCTCCGCTATGTTGCTTTGGAGTTCTTAGGGGGCGAAGCTTCTTAAGCCGTAGATCGTGCGTTCGGGATTTATATAGTTGTAGGTAGCCACCTCTCGTTTAGTTCTTGGAATGTGCGCTAGATAGCGGTGCTTGTATATGATGTTAAGAAGTTTATAGGCGGACACTCGTCGATGATCCACGACAGCGACAGTCATTGCGGGGACCGACTCTCTGTACGAGCTGCTCTTCTTTTTATGAAAAGGGCGACCTACTAGAAGGCACTGGAGAGGACGACTCACTGTTCGAAGGCTTTGCCCCAATGATCAATATACGATGAAAAGATACGAGATGGTGGTACTTGGAGTGCTCACTAGTTAGACAGGCGGACGGATGGATGGTCAGACGGGCGGACTGACGAACAGACGGACGGACGGACGGAACTAGTGAATAAACGAACGGTTTACCGGTAAAGCCCTTCGTAGCTTCGCCCATCTATCTTTTAATTCACTCCGTGGACACGCTGTGATTGTTTTCTACCGATTTAGTTTTCTTTATGTATTTTGCATATATAAGTGCGTACATGTACATATCTGGGGTACGACGGCTACGTGTCCACATAATTGCTGTTGAAATAAAATGTCAACCTTGTTGGTGCGTTGATATGCTATGGATTCCCGTGGCAGCACCATGTCACCATGGCATCAGGCGTTGATTTATCGATAGCGCCTTAATTGTTTACCCCACCGTTTCCTTTCTTAAAGGCCGTCCCAAGCAACTGTGTCCCCCCTCTCACTCGAGTACTGAGCCTAATCGTCGTTAGTATACCTGCTATCGCTCACCCAAGGCACCGTGCCTTGAAGTAAAGCCTCCCAGACCACGACAGTCACGGGACAAGTGGACCTCTGCAGTACGACGCGAGCTGCTTCTGGGTCAGTGACAAAGTTGAACTCACCACCAACCCTCACGTTTCCCTGCCCTGCAAAATCCACAAAGGAAGACATTTGAAGAAACTTGTGTCAAATGCACTGTACGCTGAAAGTTCACTAGAAAAACAACCCAGCGTGATTGATGAATAGTTGTCGCAGTTGAGCCTGAAAATCGGGCTATTTCGTTTTGTACTGCATAAATTTTACCTTTACAGGATGAAACAGCAATGAAGAAAGATGTGCAGAGGAAAATTGCTAGGTTTTTGCTGAAATTTAATTTCAAATACGAGAAAAAGCACAGGTAAAAACTACGAAAACTGATTGCAGATTCACCATGAATACGTGAAAAGTCATGCTTGCCAAGTATAGAGCATTGCATCGGTGTTCTCGCTTGCCGCGGAGTCCCCTTGACTAAACCATGCTGTGACTAAACCAGTGTGCGTCCCAGAAATGTGAGTGAAGGGGGCTGGTGACGAAAGCCGACAAGCTATTAGAAAACTTTGTACGTATGCATGTGGACAAGTGTGTATATGGGACATAAATTGCCTTCAGAGAATAAGTTTATTTTCTTGCTTGGAATCACGCACGGCGCAGAGCTTACCATGTGTAGCTTTTCGTGTAATGGTTACGCGAGAATCAGTTTTGATTTTTTTTTATTTCTGAATGTTACCGCTTCATTTCTCAAGTGTCCGAAGCGAAATTTGAGTTGACATCGATAGATTGATTGTCCTGTGTGCATCTTCCTTCGTCACTGTCGTATTCACGCTGGTAAAATGTAATAAAGCAGATACGTCGACTAGCGAAAGTGTGGCAATATTTACCATACTAAGCGAATACTTTCATCAATGTGATCACTTCTCAAAAGGTTGCAGTTGATTAGTTTAAAAGATCGTCCGCGAGATTTTCCTGTGACTAAAAGTATCAAGAAAAGTGGCACCAAGCAGGACCTAGTACTTGAGAATTTCATCTGGAAAAAGGTCGCAGGAAGAGTTTCAAAGCGCACAACTCCGGGTTTAGGCGGATTTTCCGTCAGCCTCACTAACGAGTTAGAACATAACCCACAAAAAGCACTGTTGAAAGCCATAGAAAAGTGCTTACATGACAGGCAAATAATACAGACTTGGTCAAAAGGTTGAATTAACATAATCATTGAAAGCGAGGAAGAAAAGGATCACATTCCCTCGTATAGACTGCTAACCATTACATTGGAACTATGCAGGTTGGCGATAAAGTCAGTAAAATTAAAAATAAAAACTTGGGCAAAACAAAACGATATCTTGGGAGATGTGAAGTTTGGATATCGAATTGGGGGAAGGGGGTCGAGATGATAACCTGTTTGTTCTTGCTCAACGTATAGAAATATCTAAATTACACGGCATCAAGCCAGGCCCTTGTACGTGGTTTTATCAGCTGATACTGCGACGTACGACGATGTTATTTTTGCAAGTTCGCGGCATTTATTTATAGGTGAAGGACAAAGGTGAGGGCTGCACAAATGTTTTCAGTGAGATATACCTGGAAATCACAGCTTTGATATGATTTCAAAGAATAAATTGCAAGAAAACGTCAGTATTTGCAAGGGGCTGAAACAAGGATGCCCTTTGTTCTCGCAGGTATTCATGCTGTACATGACTAGAATAGTGTAAGCACTGGAGTAGCAACATTGCTTGTAATCAGTCACACAAACAGAGTGGCATGATGGACTCGCCAGAAACTTGAAAGATTTTTTTTTGTCCTTACCATGTCGTGTTATTTGCGCACAGCTGAAATTATTTACAGTGACTGGTGGATATATGCGTAAGAGAAAGTATTCAGCGCAACAAAAAGTCAGCTTCACCCCAAGAGCAAAGCAATGAAAATTATATTTATTTACAGGTACTTTACAGGCCCTTGGTTAGGGCATTGAGTAAGGGGGGCTAACAAAGACATGTACAACAAGTAAAAGGGCGAAAGGTGCCAAAACGTGAGCTCTAGACATGAGTAACAAATAAACAAGAAATAAGTAAGTATAAATTGACATCGTACATCGTTACCAAAAAACTAGAAATATGCAGTTCATGGCACGCAGCAGTTAGGAAGTGTACAATACGTGTAAGTTAAATTGTCACAGATTGTGATATAATACACTGGGAAAAACATGAAAGCGCTTGCAGGAAGTGTGAACAGTTCGTCCTAAGCAAACAAAAATAAAGCACAAAAAATAAGGGGGCAATAAGCGCATTAGAAAAAAACTTTTTGCACAGCATTATGAATGTCATATACATACAAGAACGAAGCTGTGAACATAAAATTATCAACCAAAATGTAAGATCAATGTGTTGCGGAAGGAAACAGGGTTAGTGTCAGATACCAAGTTATCGGGAAGAACATTCCACAACGTGATGGCACGAGGTAAAGCGGATGCGTTAAAAGAGTTCGTTTTGCCGTACATGCGCGAGAAACTAAGCCCGTTGTGTAGTCTAGTTGATAAATAGGAGGGTCGTTCAATTGTAAGTCTGGTTATTTTAGTGCTATTGACGTATTTATGAAATAGGCATAAAAGAGAAATGTTGCGGCGAGTGGATAATAATTGAAGTGAATAATCCATTTTTGGTTGTCTCACGCTGCAGCAGAAATTATAGTTACGAGAAATGAATCGGACTGCCCTATTTTGAACTGCCTCGATCATGTTGGTTAAGTAATTTTGGTGGGGGGACCAGATTGGTGAGTCAAATTCAAGTTGAGGTCGAACAAAAGTTTCGTAAGCTAGTTTTCGGACGTTAGCGGGGGAGGAATGTAAGTTACGGTGTAGGTATCCCAGTGATCTCGAGGCATTTGCGCAGATGTTAGTGATGTGAGAGGACCATGAAAGATTTTGCGTGAAGTGTAGGCCCAAGTATTTGTATGTGGAAACATGCGAGAGCGGGTCATTATTTATGCGGTATGAAAAAATGGAGGGGTCATGCTTACGGCTAAATGAGATGGTTTTGCATTTTGATGCGTTTAGAACCATTTGCCACGTCTCACACCATTTCATAATTACATCAAGGTTTTTCTGTAGTGCGTAATGATCGTTAGCATTTTTGATAGGGTGGTAGATTATGCAGTCATCGGCAAATATTCGTATGAATGATGTGACGCCATCAGGCAAGTCGTTTATAAATATAAGAAATAGCAGCGGGGCGAGCACGCTGCCCTGTGGCACCCCGGAAGTTACATCGCATATTGACGACGAATCGTTATTGATGACAGTGAACTGTTTCCGGAGAGAAAGAAAATTTCGAAGCCATGATAAGGTTAGTGAGTCTAATTGAAGAGCAGATAGCTTTGAGATTAGGCGGCAGTGGGGCACACGGTCAAACGCTTTCGAAAATTCAAGAAAAGTGCAGTCTATTTGGATGTTATTATTCATGCACGAGTGAAGGTCAGTCGTGAATTCTAGCAGTTGTGTCTCGCATGACCAACCTTTCCTAAACCCATGTTGGTTGCGGAAAAAGAACTGGTTAGACTCAAGATGGTTGTAAATGTGCGAAGCGATAATGTGTTCTAATAGCTTGCAGCAAATGGATGTAAGTGAGATTGGACGGTAATTTTGGGGTAGATGTAGGTGTCCAGATTTGAACAATGGGGTAACTATTGCAACTTTCCAGTCGTCAGGTATCTGCCCAGACTCTAAGGATTGTTGAAAAATATAGCACAGAATGTTACTGGTAATGGAAACTGTGTTTTTTAGTACTTTTGAGTTAATATTATCAGCCCCAGCGGAGCTAGACAGCTTCAGCTTAGTTATCAGACATTCTATACCTTTAGCTATAATTTCGATAGGTTTCATGTACTGGTAATCATAATCGGGCACGTTAGGTAGTGTGGATTGGTCTTCGCGAGTAAACATTGAGGCAAAAAAAGTGTTAAAAGCAGAACAACACTGACTGTTAGAAAGAGGTTCGTGATTGTCATCATGTAAGGTAATGTGGTTAGCATCCCGATTGCGAGATATTTCACGCCAGAATTTTTTTGGGTTAGTTTTTAGGAGGGAGCCCAGGTCTGTTGAAAAATATTTAAGTTTAGCAGAACGTATAGCTGCGCAGTAGGTGTTTAAACACTGCTTATACTTATCCCACGCACTGGCTGTGCGCAGGCGTTTAGCATTTCGGTAGAGACGTTTCTTTTTATTTCTTAGTTGGTTGAGTGACTTAGCGAACCAGGCATTACACTTGTCATTAGATATCGAAATCAAGGGAATGTATTTATTAATCAAGACGGTCGTTTTGTCACGGAAAAGTACCCAGTTGTCGTGGACCGAGCGATTGCTAAACGAGGTCAAGAATACCTGGTTAAAGAATATTTCAAGTTCATTGTTGATTTCGGCATAGTTAGCTTTATTATAGTCGCCAATTTTTTTTGTAGTTTTGCCGGAAAACGTTACAGGAAGATCAAGGGTTACTTCAAGAAGTCTGTGATCGCTAAGACCTTCTTGGTAAAGCAGCAGTAAGCTTGTATGTTACACGCAGCACGAGGAGTTTGAAATAAGAAGCATGGTGCTCAAGCACAGGGGGCGCACGAGAAGGACAAACACACAATAATTTCTAACTAACAACTGTAAAAACTCAGCACTTGCAGCGCACTGCTCAAACACAAAGAGCACTCAAAAACAATACACACGTATAAATCCCAGATGAAACGCGCACTAACTGTCACCGTTGTTTGTTTGCGCATCAGCGGTGCGCTGTTAATGTAGACTATGCACATCAGAACGGTTTCGAGTATTTCTTCTTTATTTATTTATAAATCGTAATATTATTATCATTAATATTATTGTGGTCGTAGTTGTTGTTTATGCTGCTGTTGCTACTGTTTTTGTTGTTGCTGCTGAAAACTGCAGTGCATTGAGTAACATCATTACGTCTCCTGTCGTGTGGTGGCGTCCGAAATATTGTGTGTTTAGTGTCCCTCTTCGTGAGTGGACACAGAAAAGGGCCCTTTTTAGATGCGGAGCATCTAATACTCGAGGCTTGTAGTGCGGCGGCGTCCGCAAGCTTCCTCCTCCTTCTTCCACCATCTGTGCATCCCT